AAATCTGGAATATTTTGGATTCTTTAGCTTAAAAAAGAGAATAAAGGATGCATATAATACAGATGCCACAAATAACAGGGAGAAAGGATGAGGTTAGGATGAAAGACTGTTCAATGAAACTGCCTGTCTGGTTGCAGTTTCTCTTGGGGAAATAATGTGTGATTTGATATGTTACATATTTGACCATGAGATTCATTGCTAGCAGATATAGTGATGACCACTAAGTTGGATGGCTTTGAAAGGAATTGGATAAATTCATGGAGGATAAATTCTGTCAAAGGCTATTGAGTTGAAAACTGTGTTACTTTCAGGTTGGGGGGTTTATTGTCTCCAAATATTAGCTGCAAAGGTACACTATGGGAGATGAGTATGTCTCCATCTTCTGCCTGGGACAACTCCAAGGCATCTGGTTGGTTGTTCTGAAAATAAAATATAAACTAAGAAGGGCCTTGGCCTCCTCTAGCACAGTTATTCTTACGAGATCACATTTTGGCAACTGAGAAGAGCCCTTTATGCAAGGTAATGCAACTCTGCATGATTTGTGCCAAGCCTGTAAACTTGTTACAGGAGGAGAAACAGCTGGTGCAATATAACGGCACATGTTATACAGTCTTCATTTGGGAGAAAATCTTATTGAATTCAATTGGACTAGGGAATCTGGGTTTTAAGTGCATTAAATCACATGTAGATTAAGCTGCAAATTGTGAAAATCAGTTCAAATCTTGTCCCTGTAGGGACACTTATTTTAGGTATCTACAATATGTTTATGAGACAGACCTTTCAGAATTGCATTAGTTTTTTTATAAAAGGTCATTATATCCAGTGAATGGAATCTTTAAATATATAGATGCTAATTAGTTTTGTTTTGTTGTCGACATAAAAGGCAAAGTAAATCCCATGCTTTAGATTATACGGATTTTATATTTGTGTTTGCAGCACAAATATACACAAACGGATTTGCAAATGAATGCATGCTTAGACCAATTTTTAATATGTAAAAGTGCATACACAATAACCTTCCCATTTTTATAGATGTCCTCTGTGGTTTCTTGGAGGATTGTTAAAAAGTTGGAACAAGGAAAAAGAAATTTAGGATGTATCTGAATATGTTTTTAAAATGAAACACTGAGGGGTACAATCATTAGAGTGTCTGCCAGGACATTCTCTCTGTGAGTGGGGGATCTGAAACAATTCTGTGTAAACCGGGTGACCCTGAGGCTGCCTGAGCAGTGCTGGAATGTGGGGAGAAGCAGAAAGTGGGGTGGCTGCATCAGCCTCTGCAGTCAGGTGGCTGCTTTTGACTCCATGGGACTAAATGTGTAGCCCATGTCCTTCTATGCCTCTCTTGGTATAGGAGGAATGACATCCTGGGAGAATCATATGCCTGAAAATAAAGAAGATTGGTTCAGCTGCTCCTGCTCATGGATTGCTCTCTCTGTCGGGTGGGATGAAAGTACTGCAGTGAAAGGTAGCATAGTGACTCAGCACTTTTTCCTGTCTGTTTCTCCACTACTGCAGAATTAACTCTGTCTTTGCATGATATGCATGATGCTGTTTGCTGACTTCTAAGATGACAGCTGCAAGGATTGGTGCAAAGATTAGGACAGAAGTGGATGAAAAGTCCAGGCTGAATTGAAAGAGGAGTCTTTGGAATATCACCATAATTATTATTTTTTACATTCGTGGGTTTCTCTTTGTTGTTTCTCTATAGCAATATTGCACAAAGAATGAAGAGGAATTTTTAGGGGAAACTCAAGTTATTCAAATAGCTTTTCTTCAGTTAAACATATTGGTTGTAAAAAAAAAACCCTGCAATTCCCCAGAATTATAGTCAAAATGCCCAGAATTGTAATAATGAACATTCATTTAAGTTTCCCATTTTCACTTGAAAGGTTAAAGTAGTGAATAAAGGCAAATATATGTGCCCCAAGATACATTCAGATTTTAAAACTGGGACACCTGGTACATGTCCCAGGTTAAGGTAGCATTCAAAGGGGTGTCCCCATATCTATCCCCATAAGATCTCTGGACATGTCTTGGGAGAAGAGTCAGGTCTCCATAGCCCTTCAGGTTCACTGATTATGCTCATAGTTAGTGACTACTATGGTTACTACTCATGCCTTGGTCCAGAATGGACTATTGCAATACACTTATGAGGTTACCTTTGAAGAACATCTGGAAACTTCAACTGGTGAAATTGAAAAGCATGGTGGCATGGGAAGTTATCCAAGAGAATGGAGAGCCCATGAGCTGATTATACTGTGTGTAAGATCCTGGATATATAGATTGTAGTTCCCAACTATGTAGATTATAGTTCCCTAATATTGTCATTCAATGTGCAATAGGAGTCTTATTAATAATTCCAGATGACATAGTCATTTGTTAGAAGTACTGGGGTGTGTTCCAAATGTGTGTAGATGTAGATAGATATATAGAAAAAGATATATAGCTATGTGGTAGGAGATGACCAGGCTGAGCCTATGGGTCAAACACATCATCAGTTTCCTATTCATGCCCACAAGAGATCAAAGTCCAGCCCATCCTGAGTTCCATTGACCCTTACCTACCTCAACCATTTGCCTTAACCATTAGTAGATCATATTCTGGTAGAGAGCGATAGCATGCAATAAACTTGTCTTCATTTGAACCGCCTTGGTTCCTGATTTTTTGTGCTTGACATTTATATTTTCTATAAGTTCTCTTAAAATATTTTGATCTGAATTTCTTCCTCAGCATTCATGGGGTTTTTTTGGAAGCTTACCTTATAATTTGAATAAGTAAAATAGATAGTTTGATTTTTTTTCCCCTGAGAAACATACCTTCTTAACTTGTATTCTTTAACTAAGTACAACTTTAAATTAGTATAACGTTCTACTGTTTATTAATGACATTTTATTTCTGTTGTTAATAACTTTGTAATATTAATCACAAAATACAATTATACAATTAAATAGTCATGGTAAAACAGTACTATATAATAACTAAGAAATGAATGCGTCTACTCTCCAGAAGAGTTCTATTTGTAAAGGTTTCTGAGAAAATAATAACATGGATGCTGTCATTCAGTAGAGAAACACTGAAATACCAGCTTCAAATGTTTTAGCAAATGCTCTAGTTGCAGATTTAAGATGATTGGATTTTGACATAATACAGAAGGGTTTTCAGTTTTGCATGTTTGAAATTGTTGAAGTAGCATTAATAACCTATTTCATTGATTATAGATACTACATTTTAACTGCTGTTTTTGCTAATAGACTTCAACAAATAATCTTTTAAGGGATTAAGAATGATCAAGTGAGTTTTATCAAAACTTGATACATATCAGATGGTATTTAATGGGTAGTAAATCTCTTTGGCCAAAATGGAATACTTGTTAATTAATTTAAGTCAGAATTGATGTCTGTAAGTGAAGACTTCTTTATTTATATATTAAATAATTGTCATCTTCATTTGTAGTTTCATCAATTATTTTAGCATTCTTTTCCCAAGCAATCTTTCTCAAATATCTATATTGAATGTGAATAAAATATATAAAGAGTCAGAATAAACCTTACAATCAATGTACCAGGATTCTTTATATTTTATTTAAAACAGGTTTATGTACGTATTGAAAAACGTTTTTAAATATTCAATACAATGTATGGGATTTTTTATGTGAATCTTGAATTATACTATTATGCATAGTACTGCATAGTACTGGTTTATGACATAATCTGTCAATTTCAATTTTCAGATCTTGATACTTTGTGATCTTTCCCAATTCTTTGTCTTCTCTGGTGTGTTATGAGTCAAGAGTTCATCAGTCTCTATTGTTCTTGGCTGTCTTTAGCCAATGAATGCTTTTCTTCTTCCACAGTTCATTTGACATGAAGTGAATATCTGCCTCCATTGCTGCAGGCTAGGTATAATCCATCAATTCCCCCCCCCCTCAAAAATAATTCAGATTACAGGTATCATTTGTGTTTCAGTTCGAGATGTAGACAACACAGACTCATCCCCAACAGCCTATTTTCAACAGGGAAAGGACACAGGGCAGAAAACATCATGCAGCCAAGAAAACTCCATATCCATTTACACTACTCAGGTGACCCTGAGGACACAGATAAACATAAAACAATGCAAATGACCAGCTGTCTGCAAGAAATATAAATCCTTCTGTTCCTCACCATCCAGTCAGAGCTGAAGAAGCTTCTTGGATGAAAAGCGAAAGTTCTTCAAAGAAAAAACAAGGAAGCCCAATTGCCTCCTGAAAAAAGGCACCTTGGAACATTTATATCCACCTTCCCAAGGACCTGGGATATTATTATTTCTTCATCAATTTATGGTTCCAGTAAACTGAAGACTTATATATTTAAAAAATAAGTTCACCTAATATGGTGAATGATACCAACAACATATTCTGTGGGAAATGGGATTTACATGTTACTATGTGCACTGCACACTGCAGTGGTGGTTTTTTTTTCCAGTCCAAAGGTCTGGAAACTGAGAATGCAAGGACACATATACTCTTCCAAAGTGGATTTCTGATAAGAACCTTAGCATCTATAACTCTTTTATCTCACTTGAAGTTATTCAAAATAGATATAAATATGCAATTCTTCTTTAAAATATGTGGAAACATTTGTGTGTATGTTTTAATGGATGCTCTTCACTGGAAATTAGTTAGTTATATTCATTACAAATTGCACCCAATGTTGTATCCACCATGACGACCTTTTACCAGCCTATTTAAATGTGCATTGATAAAACAATTCAAAAAGGAATAAGATGAGATTTGTTTCTGGGAATGAGATTGTGAAATCAGTAGTGTTTGTGGTACAACGCTGTTCATAACATTATTACAGCCAAATCCTCACACGAGAAGAATTGTCCTCTAACTGTATATTCATGTACCAGATTAGTATTGTATGACTTGGTAATGTTGTAGTTTAATCGCTAATTAAGCATCTGGCGTTATCCCCATGTACTGATGTCTGTGTCAACTTGAATTTCTTTTTCAGCATTTTTGCAATACAGTACTCAAGAAGTTCACAAAAGAATATCTTCTTGGAAACAAAGGGAATGATCATGTCAAATGTAATTTGCTTTTTATTTGCTGAGAACTGTCTACCTTTCTATGTACTCTTTTCATTACTCTTTTCAGTATTTCATTTCCAGTAATCTATCCTGGCACTAATGTTATGAGTTGCTAATTACCCTGAGACTTGATTCATTCAAAACTAAATAATGTGATTTCTTTCTTTTGGTTTTCCATTTCAGGGATGCATTCTACTGGTGATTATGAAAACAAATGGTTATACCCATGTGCCATTGTTTCTTATGCAGGCTCCTAGTAGTTATTGCCTTTCACCCCCATAAATGACAACAGATTCAAGATAAGAGGCTACAATGGGACCAATGAAGAATTTTGAAAATACTTGACTCAGATGTGTTCCAGTTATGAGTTAATTCTGTAAAAGGTCTTATCTTGCCTTAAAATCTGGGTGTGCTTTCTTAAAGTGTGGCATAGTGGCAAGATGTTAGATTAGAATTGGTGAGATATTTTTGCAGTGTACAGTAGATTACAGTAAATTACTGCTCAGTAACTTAATAAAGGGAAATGGATATTTCCGCACAGAAACTAATATTTTTCACTGTTTTTATATGTATATTTTACTTTTTGTCTATAGTTCCCAAGAAGGCATATGTGGTGTCATGTTTCATTTTATCCCTGCAGTAGTGGTGGGATTCAAATTTTTTTACTATTGGTTCTGTGACTGTGGCTTGGTGGGCATGGCAGGGGGAGGATAAAATCTCCATTCCCTCCCCACTCCTGGGGGAAGGTTACTGCAAAATCCCATTCCCTTCCCACCCCACTGCATGCATATCTATATACACTGCTCAAAAAAATAAAGGGAACACTTAAACAACACAATGTGACTCCAAGTCAATCACACTTCTGTGAAATCAAACTGTCCACTTAGGTAGCAACACTGATTGACAATCAATTTCACATGCTATTGTGCAAATGGAATGGACAACAGGTGGAAAGCATAGGCAATTAGCAAGACAACCCCAATAAAGGAGTGGTTCTGCAGGTGGTGACCACAGACCACTTCAGACTGTCCAGGAGTTGGGGGATGCTTTAATCCAGGTGTGGGAGGAGATCCCTCAGGAGACCATCCGCCACCTCATCAGGAGCATGCCCAGGCGTTGTAGGGAGGTCATACAGGTACGTGGAGGCCACACACACTGAGCCTCATTTTGACTTGTTTTAAGGACATTACATCAAAGTTGGATCAGCCTGTAGTGTATTTTTCCACTTTAATTTTGAGTGTAACTCCAAATCCAGACCTCCATGCATTGCTAAATTTGATTTCCATTGATAATTTTTGTGTGATTTTGTTGTCAGCACATTCAACTATGTAATGAACAAAGTATTTAATAAGAATATTTCATTCATTCAGATCTAGGATGTCTTATTTTTGTGTTCCCTTTATTTTTTTGAGCAGTATATTTATAAGGAGCCACATCCAAATACATTAAGCCAAAGATTTTGTTAAAATCTCTTCTTTGCCTCTTCACATGGTTTACAAACTTCAGAGCTGGATTCATATCATGCTAGTAAACATGTTACACACATTTAATTCATCATGGTTTATTAGAATGTGCAAACGCAGCCAATAGAGAAAGAGAGGGGATACACGTTTTGAGCTAAGGATGTTGGAGTTGCTTGCCTTTAGGCATTACTACCTCCACCTGCCACCTCAAAACTGAATCTCTGCTTCCCCCTCTGCTTCTCGGAAGTGAAACTCCTGGAATGTGTTATTGCTTAGAAAAGAGGGGGATCTAGAATAATTGGATAGGGATACATTCCAGAAACTTTACACATTAACTGGACCAATTGAAATAGGGGCATATATCTTTTTCAAGCCAAGGATATCATGTGGTCCAAAAATGTGAGTCTTCCAAAATAAAATGACCTTTTAAAAATGTTAATATGATTATTTCCTATGTATTTCATAAGTATTTGTATACCACCAAGAGTCACTTTATATGAGATGAGCAGCCATATAAATTTGATTCATAAATAAATATTTCCTACATATTTCATAATTTTCCCATCTGAGCATATTTAATATGAATCGGCAGTAATCTTTGGAGTGGTTTGACAGCTACATTATGGGGTTTAGGCAGAATCGGTCTGTTTATTCTGATTTAATGGTAATGGTTTGAATTAAATGATTAAAAGATGATGATAATTAAAGATGTCTGTTTTTGGAGGAAGCTGATTTTTCAGTTTAAAATGGTTTCTGGCAACTCGAGAGGCTCGCCTTGAGCAAAAAACAATGACACAACATTGCAGTTATAAAAGTTATAAAAAGTACATATTGTATATATTCCCAATCACTTTTTCTCTAGCTAAAGTTATTTTGAACTGTTAGTGGAAAAATTTTCAATGTCTTAGCAATTTTAAAACAATGGGTTCCATTTTCATTCTGGATTATTAATATTTCTCTTTTTATCTGCAATGAATATCAGAATACTCTTTTCAGTTCTTTACAGTGCTGATGGTAGATACCCTTAATCCATTTGTCATGCATTCTGACTCCATTTCCCCTACCAATTCTCAACAAATTCAGCACTTGCATCTGAGATGACTTACATTTTTGCCATGTTGAGGTCAAATGTTAAGTGACTAGTTGCAGGAATTTGGACTTACTGCTAATTCCATCCAGGGAAAGTGGTTGAAGGGATATAAAGATCTAGGGAATCTTTGTTGCAGTTTTTATTCTGTTTTCTCAGTAATTAGGAAAAAAATTATACTCAAGGTGGACCAATTCAATCAGAAGTATACACTTTCTATACATGTTGAGACTATTAAATCAATGGATAATTAAAACTAACCCAAATGTTCTATAGAGTGAATCAATTTTGGAAGGAAGGGCAAAATGTTAGATATTAAAACCAAAGTGTGACTTTAAAGTATATGTTTCTAAAAACTGGAACATATACAAAGTGAATTTTAAAAGGCTTAGTGGAGAATACAAGAAATGATATGTAGGCCAGGAGCTTAACAATTGATATAATGCAAGAAAAATTGTCATAGTCAAGAACAGTTCTTGTTGAAAGAATCGACTGTGGCTTTTATAGAGACAAGATTATTATTTTTCTTGACTATTTTGAGAGGCTTCTGAGGAAAGAGAAATCCTGGGAAAAGACAGCAGGTCTTCTCAAGTAGTAGTATATAACCAGAAATAGAACCTTGATTTGCATCAGATGCTCCATGGGTTGTGGGGAAAATTAGCTTATTAGGCAAACCTATAACCCAGTCATGCCATATTGATCTTTGTTTTTCAAATTAAGTTTAAAAGTGACTAAACTTTGAGGATGAATATAACCAAGCAGAGACTGTGACTGGAAAATTATGGTCCGAACCTCTCAAACAAGAGAGGCAAGAGAAAACACAGCCAGAGAAAGAAATGTAGGAAGACTCTGCCCTAATCGATGAAGCAGTTAAAAGTGACAGAAGTTTGTGCTTTCAGATTTACTGACCATTAGGCCACTTGGGGGCTCCTGATCTCTCTTGTCTAGTAGTTTCCTAGGCAGCATGTCTTCCCCTCACTCTCCAAGGCCATCTACTCATTCCATTACACAACCTAATTTCTGAAAATAGCTGATTCTTTATCATCTCATGCAATATTGATGCAAGGATAGCAATTACATATTCAAGGATGGTGGGGGCGTTAAAAGGGTAGGGAAAATTCTGCAACACCATGAAAATATTTTGCATATATTCTTTGTAAATACTTCACAATTTTTTTCAGCAACCTGAAGGTTAACATTTGGAGCATTTGTATAGGTTCCCTAAATTACCCTCATTATTTGCATTTTCAAATGCATGAAGAAATGTAACCTGAGATTTTGTTTTTGTAGAAACTAAAACAATTCAATGTGTTCCCCTGAAGACAGTAATTTTAGAAGAGCATCCAATTCTCTGTACTCTGCAGATTCTGTATTGTTTTGTTTCCTATTTTGCCCTGTCTTGCAACAGGAATGGGAATAGTTACATCAATGGAAAACACAAAGGAAAAGTATTGAATTGATAAATTACATTTTAACAGCATGCCTGACTATGTCACAAAATTTAGTTTAACATTGCAAACATACAGAGTTTGGCCTTGAACTTTTTGTACTCTGCCTTTATTTTCCAACTGTGTAATTCAAGTATACAAAATAATACTCTGCTTATGGATACTGCAACATCTCCTACCTGAGTCTGCATGCTGTGAATAATCTTTCCTAGCCAATGTTTGTTCTGATCAGCATAAAGCAGCTGATGGATAGTCAATTGCCTTCCTTACATTTTCTTTATAGACCTAAGAACCATCCTGCTTGTTAAATAGCTGCTTCCCACTCACAGACACTTGAAATGAAGTTAAAATGGTAAAGAAGCAGGAAATGATAGATTCATTAGCCATTCCACTGCCAGGTTGGCATTTGCCCTCCACTTTTCCACCAATGTGCCCTCATTCTCTTGATCTTTTCTCTATTAAATGATTACAAAAGGAAAGAAATAATTATACACGTTACTTGTTGGATATTATTTGTTGCCCAGTTAACCCTGATATTAATCACTTAGAGATGCAAAAGAATAAAACCAGAAAAGAAGCATTTGTTATTTCTTATTTGGTGTCATAAATATGTAGGAATTCTATGTGAATGAATGAAAGCTATGTTCTGAAAAAGGATGGATTTGGGTTTGAGGTATGGTTGAAATTCTGAAACCTACCAAAGAGCAACTAGATGAAATCTAATTCATATAAAATAAGTGGGTATACATGAGTATATGCATCCTTTAGAGCAGGGGTCCCCAACCCCCAGTTCATGGACTGGCCCTGGTCCGCAGCATGCCAGAAACCAGGTCACACAAACAAGTGAAGCTGCATCTGTGGGATGCAGGCAGCACACAAAACCACATCCCCCCTAGTCTGCGGAAAAACCTCTTTCCTTGGAACCTGTTCTTGGTGCCCAAAGGTTGGGGAGCACTGCCTTAGAGCAATGAAAACCAGTTTCAGGTATGGAGACATAGGACCTTGATAGTGGTGAGTTCCTCATTTTTCCCTTAAGAGTCCACTTTAAATTTCTCTTCACTCTGCTCAAGTATAACCACATGTAAGTGGTATACATACATGCCTGCATGCCTGCATGCATGCCTGTATGTATGTATGTATATATGGTATTCAGCTTTGTTTGGGTATTTTCCCACGTCATTTTAGTTGTGCTTTTAAAGTTGTAGCAATGTTTCGGCAGAATCTCATCTGCCATCATCAGGTAGTGTTCGTCTGTGAGTCAGACTTTCACAGCCGTTTTATACAGAGAGAGAGAGAGATGACTTCTTTGATGTCCAATTGTATATACCCCATATATAAAAGCTAAAAGCATTGAACTCTGAAATGCTGAAATGTTCCTTTAGTACAAGTTTCTACTGCCAGTTTCCCACAAGGAAACTCAATTGGGAAGCCAGTAGGAAGTTGGAAGTCGCTCACCCTCTCACTGCTTTTTTTGCCTGCCTGTGCTCATTCTGTTTCCCTGTTTAGGTAAGGAAATATCCCTGAAATGACCTAACCAGGCACATGATGTCTAGTTGTTTTTTTTTTTACTATTTATCAAATCTGTCTTTAATTCACTGCATACTTGGAATATTGGAACAGCACACTGCATGGGATATTGTGGAGACTGTTAGCTTTATATTTTTCTTAATCTAAGTTGGAATTTTTTACAAGAATGTCATGACCCAAGCTGCTGTTAGCACCAAGCTTTGCTTTTGTTGAGTGAGTAGTACTCTTAAGTTTACTTGAAAAATATTTACAATCAATTTGATTTTGATATTGTTTCCATGGCAGTGTCCATGTGTTAGACCTGTTCTTTAGGATGTTGGGAAATGATACTGATATTAATATCAAATTATCCTGACAGAGCTCTGTGTCACCTACTTAATTTTGTATATCAAGCCTTAATTTTCTCATTATTCCAGATGCTATTTTCCTTCCAACTTTAGCATTCAAGGCACCTATGATAAGTATGATATCATTTTTGAGTTTTGCATTGAGAAGTATTGTCATAGGAGGACTGCTTGCAGATTGGTAAGCTTTGGCTGAAGAGAGTTACATGCCATTTATGCACTCTTTATTCCTACTGCCTGCTTCATATGTTCCAAACCCATATGCAGGGGTGGGATTCTATCGGTTCTGTCCAGCTCTGTAGAAGCTGTAACTCTCAGTTCTATGTCTGCTGCTGTTTTGGTCCACCTGCCCACCCGGGCTCTTACCTGATCTTGATTTCCTGCTTTGTCAACCTCAGCTGCTGTGTACAGCACAACTGCGGTTGAAAAAGCAGGAAAAAAGTGCTTTTGGAAACGCTGCGCACCCACATGCAGCACTGCTCAGCTGTCCAGGTAGCAAGCTGATGACGATTCACACACATGCACAGCAAATTGTAGATCACCGAACTGGTAGTTACACCCGTCGGATCCCACCCCTGCCCATATGGCACAATTCTACTACAGTCAAGTAACTCAAGTAACAAATGAATCAAAACATAATATTTGTATGTTGATTTATTGAGGAAAATTATCCAAAACTACACATTGTACAAACTATAGATAGGCAGTGATGTTCTTTTTGGAGAGTAGTTGTTTTCTCCTTGCAGTCCTGCCATATGCATCATTGTTGTTCAGTGTTTTCATGATGGTGATCACATGAAAACTTTTGCCAATTCAAAAGAGGCCTTTAGTTCCTTAGACATTGCCCTGAAGTTCTTTGAGACCTTTTGGAATATTACACAACTTGTAGTTGATGTGATCTTAGTTGGTTCACCACTCCTGAAGAGATTAATAATGATGCTGAATTGTCTCCCTTTGTACATTATCTGCTTGGTGGAGTCTAAACTCTTTGGATATAGTTTTGTAACTTTTCAGTCTGATGAGCAACACCAACAGTTTTTTTGGAGGTTTTCAGAAATCTCCTTTGTTCAAGCTATGATACACTTGCACTTTATGTTACCTATGTGGTAAAAATCAGACTTTAATAGTGAATACCCAGGAATCTGGTCATTGAATAAAGCAATATCTCCCACACTTGTACCTGATTATCATCCTTGATTGAAACACCTGACTCTAAAGTCGCTTCAAATGAATTGATAATTCTAGAGGTTCGCATACATTTGCCACAAATATGTAGCTTTGGTTCATTTTCCTCAGTGAGAGGTATTTCTGATAAAGCAGAATTGGGCAATACAAAAATCATATGTGGTCTTCCTTGTCATTCCACTTTTTTATCTAAAGGATAAAGAAATTATGAACTATTCTGAGATACCAGTGCAAATATAAATATAAATAATTTTACGTTAGGTATATAAATTACTTGGAAAACCAAATATTCAGCCTTGTATATTATACGTAATGTTACTGTCAAATGAAATGTTCTAGGAAAAATCTGGGTTGAACTATGTAATGTGTCTCTGGTTTTCAGGGTGCCTAAAAGATGACTTGGAACCTCTTCAAAAAACATCCCAAACCTGAACCCATAATAGCTGTTACCACAGGTGCTCCAGTACCTCCTACCACTACAGTAGCACCAGCAGTCTCCCAGGAAAATGGAACGCAATCAGGCCCAGTGGAGAATACGGAGGACACTTTTGAAAAGTTTAAAGAAAAGCTTATGAATGAAATAAATAGTATACCTTGTAAGTAACATGATCTTATCTTGGATATATCTGGTATCAACATATTTCTGGGTCTCATTGTTCCATCCTTGCTTTTTCTAACCTTTTGCATATCTATAGAATGTAAAGGTTAGATGCCCATCTACCTTCCTCCCCCTTTTATTATCAGTTGCAAGAAATAGAATTATATATTTGATTAAAGAGACCAAACTACTTAAGGATGTTGGTTGATAAAAGTAGAAGGTGGCCTGAAATACTTTTTTTTTTCATTTTAGTGAAAAGATACTGGGGGGCGGGGGACTTACTAGAAAGGCTATGTTAATCTAATAATAATTTCAAGTTGAGGTAATGTAGAGTAATGGAGGATGGCTTTGTTTATAGAAAATCAAAGAGGGAAAGAAATGTTCTACACTGGGAAAAGATTCTGGCATTAGAAATAGATTATCCAAAGCAGGGGTGTCAAACTTGCGTTCTGATGGCATTGTCACATGATGTATCATGACTTTTCCCATTCACTAAACCGAACATGGGTGTGGCCAGCACGTGACTTATCTGGACCGCAGGATGTGAGTTTGACACCCGTGATCCAAAGGATCAGCCATTTGAGTGGCAACATTCAGAAATGTTCTGAGTGGGTCACAATTACCTCATTTATGGAATCCCCTCCCAACCTCTCTGCATTTAGTCTTGCAGCAGTGATGATAGCTTGTGAGTTTTAACAGAGATTGATTCTGCACTTTAATAATAACCCCAATTTTTTTGACTATGGTATTGTGACTTTGCTCCTTAAAATGTGTTTTCAATAGTTGCTTTTAATGTTTTGATCTAAGTTGTGTAGGTGAGCCTGAATTGGAAAACATAAAAAAAAAATGCTATTAAAAAAATAAGTTGGGCACTGCAAAATGTGAAGAGAAGCACTCTGCAAAGAGCCTGTCCCGAGTGGTTGAGGCAGCTGCATCTTCTGGAAGGCCCAGAGGAGTTGCTTCAGAATCATTCTCTGCCATCTCTCCTTGCATCTGAAGTCACACAGGCTTTTAAACTTGCTTTAAAGGACATGCACAACCTTAAGGAAATGACATTTGCGGGCTGTGCATGTAATATGAAACCTCTAGTACTTCCTGCTATCCTATTCCCCATATTCTGCCTATATTTTCACAGTGCCACCATGGGCCTTGATTGCCATTGCTGTCGTTGCTGGATTGTTACTGCTGACCTGTTGCTTTTGCATCTGCAAGAAATGCTGTTGCAAGAAGAAGAAGAACAAGAAGGACAAAAAGGGAATGAAAAATGCTATGAACATGAAAGATATGAAAGGCCAGGTGAACATATATCATTGGATGAAGACCAGTTGGGAAACTGCAGTTATTTAAGAGATGGGGAAACAAGTGCTCATGTTTCTGGTGGGCTTATCTAGAATGGCATAGATACAAGAGAGTACAAGAAAGAACAAGAGAGCAAACAAACAAACAAATTGCTCTGCCTTAGAAAATATACCAGACCAAGAAATAAACAAGAACTGGAGGGATAGAAAAGTTTGTCTAAGAACTATTACTCTTAATTGATTACTTGATTACTCTTAAAAAATTAAGAGGTAGACCATGATAATATTTCAGGTTGAGGAATTCAGAAAATGAGACCAATAGTCACTGTTTCGGGTGACAAAATCCATATTCTAATTTTTGCTCCCTCTTTTTTTCTGAGCTTTTTTTTTCATAAAACAGTTGCTTGCTTTCTGTATTTGATACAACAAGAAGTCACTTCATTTTATTGTGCTATAATCTTACTTTACTACAATACCATAGTTTAATTTTAGTATGGCTTTACTACAGTATTGTAACTGCATTTAATTTTACTTTATTATTTTATTTTAGCATTTGTTATTATTATTATAATTTTGGCAGTCAGTTTCTCTTATAAAGACAAAAATAAGAATACATTTCTTTCCATAAAACCAGGAGCTTCTAATTCCATTTGTAACAAATATTTTAAAATATTTATTGTCAGAAATCTACAGTTCTCAATTGTATATATGAAACATTTCTTTATATATTATTTATTTATAAATTTATAAAATGTATTAACTATCTGAATTCCAAAATACAGTAAGTGATATAAAAGTCTTAAGCATAACACAGAATTAATATAAAGTACACATATTTTTCAAACATTTTTACAAGGAACCAATTTATAACTTTTAAAAGCAATGAAGTGGCTTTTAATCTCCTTTTGCATATATTTTAATTTTTTTCCCTAAATTAACCAAGGGTATTTCTAGGTGTTTCTAACTTTGTTTTTTCTTTTGCCTCAGAATTTCAGAAAACATCACACTTCTTAGCATGTGAGAAAGCATAACAAAGAACTCAGTTCCTGCTATGCAAAAATAACTTTTCTATGTAAACTAGGAATGCAATATACAGTTTCTCTAGGTATTAGAGAAAATATACAGGATATAGATTTATCACACAAACAAAAAATAACAGTAGTATTTAAAGTAGATCCTTTTGTGCTTGCAGTATCAAGCACAGTGATCTTGAGGCTATTCACAACAATTGAGCCTGTTTGTGTTTTGGTTCCTCAACTGCTCATAAGTCTCCAGCCCCCCTAAATATTTCAGGGAAAGTTGAGGTGGCAGTTGAGTTGGGAAAGTTGGACAACTTTAGTCTGATACCCCAAGGAATCAAGTTAGCATTAAGTAGCAATGTAGGCAAAAGATGTACCAACACAAACTCTTTTAAAAGTAAGTTTTCATTTGGCAGCAATCTTTAATAAGGAGGGAGTCAGAGTGTCCATATCAAGAAAAGTATTATTATTCTGCCTACTGAATAGTGACTCTGTGGAAAATGTGGTGATGCTGAGAGAATGTTTTTATCAGAGAATGACCGGGAATTCTCACAATTTAACACCTCTCAACAGAGTCATGCGGGGAAAGCTGCGCTATAAAAATCTGCAGACAGTGTTCTCATAAAGACAAGATAGTCTGAGCTTTCTTTCTGATGAAATTGGGATGGTTATAACGATATAATTAGAGAACCAGTTTGGTGTAATGGTTAAGGCACTAGGCTAGAAAATGGGGGATATAGTCCTACCTTAGGCACAAAGCCAGCTGGGTGATCTTGGGCCAGCCACTTTGTCTCAGCCCTAGGAAGGAGGTAATGACAAACCATTTCTGAAACTCTTGCCAAATAAAGTGCAAAGACTTGACCAGGTAATCTCAAAGAGTCAACATTGATTCAAAGAGACCAAAGAAAAAGGTAGCATAATTAGGCACATCACACTGTAACACTGTGTTAGGAAATTATAAATATAATGAATTTAGAAAACTATCAGTTTTCAGAAGCACAGCCAACATTCACTATATTCAGGCATTCAGAATTCCAGAACTTTCCACACTTTTGTAGATATTTACCTATTAAGCATGATTGGCTGACAGAGAAAAACAATTGTGCATGCGATCTGTGGGTATTTACACCCATGTGAATAAAGACCCTGCCTGGGCCATGATGGAGCCAGTGGTAGAAACAGTTGAAAATGCTAAGGTATTTTGTGGCATATTTTTTCCTCAATGTGCAATATAAGTAGACTTATTATTTGTATGACATTGGCAGCAACAGAGCTTATGTTGGATGCTCACCTGAGAGTGCTTCAGATTTAAGAATGCCTGAATAGAGTTATTCAATATTTTATATCATGCAAGCACACTGTTATGTGGATGGTATGCATTTTCTGGATAGATTCTTAGCTATATCCTCCAGCTTTCCAAACATATCAAAGATAGGAAAATAGAAACAGGCAAGTATCCTTTTTATCCCTTCCTATTGGAGACTGCTAACCATTTTGTTTTGGAGCATATATAGCCGATAGAATCCTGCCTGATATTTACATATAAAGGAAAGAGATGGAGGAGATTGTTATTAATGTTTCCCCAACACCAAGATGACTTTGATAGGCCCTTCTCTTAGTCTTATTTATAACCTACACCCTTTTCCCCATTAGAGCTATGATTCCATTTTAGCCTGTTGAGACAACACAGATGGAAAATTATCATTCACAAAAAGCACAAGAGGATTTGTGCAAGGATGGTCTCGGGAAGCAATTTGCCAAGGACTATCTATAAATCTCAGCTCATAAAAATTTCTTATGTAGTATCCCATTTGAAGTTACCATCTCAGTAATTCCATTATTCTTTTGTTCAGGATTATAATACCTGTTTTGTAAGCAAAGTCAAACTAGCTCAGCAGCAAATCACATTAACAATTAATCTTGACAAACCTCAGGCTATGAATGGTGATGGCGTCTTCTCTCATATTGGGATACTTTGCTTTACTAATGTAGAGAAACATTTTCTCATCCATCACTCAAACTATATTAATCAGGTTAAATCAAAGTTGCTTGACTGCGAGATGGGCAACATTTAATAAATAAATACATGTTCCATGATATACTTTAAGGATTCAGAACTCCAGTCTTTTTCATTATTTAAATTGCCCTATTATATGTAGCTGTTGTATCCAGTTTTGAGGTGGACTCGCTTTACAAAGGGTTTCCTCTGTGTTGAGGTATGAATTAGTTCTCTTACCAAACCATAAAACAAAATACTAACTTCATTTTAATAAAGACGTATATAACTGCAAATAGATAGTAATTCCCATCCTGTCTCTCCATTGACCATGTAATTTAAGATTGAATTTAGGGTTGATGAGAGCAGGAAGTCACTTATTTGTCATTTTTGATTTAGGAGTACAGACTTGAAAGATATATCGGAGATCGTCTAATCAAGCTTACTGCTCAATATAGTGGGCTTGATTAGATGATCTATAAAATAAATATATATAGTTGCAACTTTCTCGCCAGAGTCTACCATTTGCCAAGGCCATTTTCTTATGCTGGAAAATATTTCCTGTACTATTTCCAACTGCTATTTTTAGTCCTGCCCTCTAGAGCAATAAAGAGCTAATCTGCTCCATTTTCTTCATGACAGTTTTCAGATATTTGCAGATCCCAATAACCTGAATCCTTTTCTCTGGCCTAATCATATTGTGGGTGTATGTTTTTACAGGCCTACAAGAATAGGTACTCATAAATTCCCTGAAGGATTGCTGAAGGCCTCAGAAGATGTATGAAAAGTTAGTGTTATGAATCACATCTCTAATTATTAATGAACTGATATGGCATAAAAGGCATAAGGATTAGTGGTGGACTGGATTCTTTACATGTTGTGGACCCATTTTTGACTTCGGGTATTTACAGCACTTGAGACCCTGGCAAGCTGTCAAACAGAGAAGACGATGCATGACCGAATTGGATTTACCCCAGCTTCCTAAGAACAGAAACCATCTGGTTGCTTTGTTGACAAATTTTTCCCATTAAAAGCCAAAGGACTGAAGTCTTTTATGACCATGACCTCAATCTCTATGAATTGAGCATGGTCCAAATTAAAACAGTCAATATTTATGTGATCTACAGTTTATGAAATAATACTTAGATTCTATTAAATTAGGCTTTCCAGTTCTTTTCATTACTGCATTGATTTCAACATCCGAGATTTCAGACAGAAAATAGATGTGGTTATTAGTGTGGGGTATCTAGATGCATCAGGGATTGAGATTTACAACCCTCAGGCATATTTTTTTAAGCAAACAGGAACCATGGTCAGGATGACTACTAAAAGGCAACTAAATTTCACAAGCCATTTTCATTGAGGAACTCGTCATAGTAAGAACAGGTGTTGGTACAGTATATGATTTTATCAGATGTCTCCTGGTCTGATAGCCCATCCATGCACAAATGAAAGAAGTGACAAACTGTAAGGAGAACAAAAGCTTCCCTTGGCTAATTTCCGTGACTATTTTGCTCCAATTTCTGTCAAGGAAGACTGCCAATAGTAAAAGACAGAAAGAAAGCCTTTTTTCCTCTCTAACCTCTGGAAGTGTAGAATCTCACTTAGCTAGATCATTGTAACAGCTGTGTGTCTTTTCTTTGCAGTTTATTTTCCATTCTTGTTCTTCATAAAGGGCCTTTCTAGTCACAGGAGAGGTCATCCTTCAATTACTAATTGGCTGTGTTTTCTCTGTCTCTTTCTCTCTGTTCCCTTATGTATTTCTGTTCTTTTTTTCTTTTTTCTTTTTGGCTTCCAGAGAAACACAGGTCTACTAATTACCTTCAGTTTTCTTTTATAGCGCTATTGACGATTAAATATGGAAGATGAAATTGGCTGATATAAAATGCTACCTTTTGTTTCACTGATTGGATTAAATGAAACAATGCAAAAAAAAAAATAGTGATGTGCATTAAGCCAAAACAACACACCTTGATAAATAAACTTTTTGAAAATGATCTTCCCAAAGAAGACCACTTCAGTTTTGAAGCAAAGGCATAATGGAGACCTACTGATGTATTTATATCATGCTCCTTGTTGAGGGCCTTACACTTGCTTTTACGAGGATACAATATTGCAATGGAAGTGGGAGCTCTGTTTTAATCCAGTTTCTTTGGGAAATTAGAAAATATTAGAATTTAATGTTTTGTTGGCTTATTCTGTCTGGGGCAGCCATCCCTTTATAATGGGCCTTGGAATCTGCAGTTTCTCGGGAGTACTTGTGATGTTGATAATTTGTAAAGTGTTTGTGTCTATAATGCCCTTCTCTTCCTTTTCTGTGCTCTCTTTGTCATCGTTCTGTGTTGTTCTGTCACCATCTTTTCTGACTAACCTGGATGTCAACACATGGTAGGTCCTATTCAAATGTCAACTCCCTTTGAGGCACAAAAGGGACAAGGGAAGAGGGTTTATGGGAATTAGTCAACCGAAGGCCCATGTTCCATATTTAGACTTTGTATAAATGATAGTTAAAATTAATGTTCTACTTTAAGTGAGAAATTTTTTAAAAAAATCTTTCATTTCTGGTTAAAAAAATTTATAATCAGCTAATCAGAATGAAGTCCAATCAAAATACAAGGTGCACTAACCGAAACAGACAAAATATTTTATTGTGTTGCCTGTATATCTCATCAAAGCTGAAACTCTGCATGGGTGGAGTTCATGGAAGAAGCATCAAAAAGGCTTCTCAATGACACTATGAAGGTCTAGGTATGACAGGTAAAATGCTGAAAGAGTTATCCAGCATTATTGGCCTTGAGAACAGACATTAATACTCATTTAGCCAAATCTAATAAAATATAATTTAGAAGTCTGAGAAAGAATAATGAATGTTTGCCTTGGATAATCTGCATGCTTATGCATGTATGAGTGTTTGAATCTTTTTTAAAAGTTAAGTAAGAAAGAAATCATTGGAGTTATTTAAGATTTCCATTTATTTGGAAACCCCTTCAATGAATTTCTTTATGGACAATGCATTTCTAATCTGCTTTGTCTGCCTTGGCTACTCCATTTCCCATAGATTTCTCATTGGAGAGTAGTATCATTTGCTGGCTGTTACACAAGCCTGACTTCTTCCATGATATGGATACATTTAACCATGTTGGCTGAGGAATCCAGAAAATTGCCAACTAAAATATTTAGTAGCTGCCAGACAGGAGAAAGCAGAATTACACTAATACCACTGTTGTAGTGCTTTCCCTGAAAAAATGTAGAATTCATAACTACTGATTAAATAAGAATTTAAGTGTTAATTATATGTAAGTTGTTTGCATTTTTTAAAAAATTATTGAAGTATTCAAGCTGTATCCTTCACTAAATCTATCAACAAAGAAGAGATAGATTCTCTGCACATTTGAGATGTGTATGAGAGGAATAAGAAAGTTGCATGTTAGTTTTCTAAATTAAAATGACGAAGAAACTCAGTTGCCCCCTCCCCTTCTCTTTTGGGCTGGAAAGCCACATTCTATTCCTATGGTAAATCTGAGTTTCTATACTAACATAAGATATTGTGTATGTGCGTATGGAACAAGGCTCTTGATGTATAGTCACTCTTTATGGAAACATGTGCTCCTATTTCTTTCCTAGAACAAACAGGATGATGATGATGATGGAGATGAGGAAGGAGAAGGAGAAGAGGAAGAGGAAAAAGAACCAGAGAATCTGGGCAAACTGCAGTTCTCCCTAGATTATGATTTCCAGGCTAACCAGGTAATGCATACACATTAATAAATGTAAATAAAAAAAACTTCATTCTAACTTCCTCCACTGAGAGTGATAATGAAGACAGAAGTTTAAAAATTCTTAAGAAAATGGGCTTGGAATTGCTGCCAGGTCTTGGGTAGCTCTAGACCAGTCTGAAAATAGCACTAGTAGTGCAATAGTCATCCTGATGGTGTGAAGGAATATGGAAACCTAGAGAAGAGTGAAATCTTGATTTAAAGCATTAAGCTATAAGTGCGTTCTCTGAATACTGGAAGCCAAGATGGTTTCAGAGTGGCAGCTATCAAATTGGATGTAGTTGCCTCAGCTGTTCTGATTTCTTCAGGCTCCTGGATCATTGCACATTTGCAGATCCCCATTTGGGAAATGGCACTTCTGCAGAGGTCTTATGGTTTGTTGGTAGATGTTCAAGGTCTGCGACAGATAGCATGAGGTACCTGTGAGAACTTTGGACTTTATTGTAAACTCTCCATTGATTAATCTTTCTGGATATAGATCAACAGAATAATATGGGGCAAACTGGTTGATATTTGTATTTTAAAAATATGGGCTTCCATCAGGTAGCACCTCCTTACCTTTATCACAGAAATTAACAAGATGCTCCTTGGGATTTTGATATGTTGCCAACAGCAGTAGGGGAAGGAGATTTTCAAAATGTACCGGGATGTATGAATATAAGTATAGAGGAACATAATATATCTGCCTTTTTGGATTTGATGATACAGATACTTTAGTCATGTCTTTCTATAATGTTTTCATTACAAGAATAGGAAGTCCATTTTTAGAGTTTCCTATTAGGTAAACTCCTGGGGTGTGCTGACAACTTTTATGCAGTTACCTCTGTCAAATAGTCATCATTCATAAAGTGTTACTAAGGTTCTACATATTGTTATCTTAGCAGGTAAACAATAGCTCAGTGCTGAATGTAAGCATCAGATTGCCACAATGTTTAATTTATTGTTTTTATTCTATTTCAAATTTTGTTTCTTTTTAAGGACTGAGTATATATACTTTTGATAGTGCTGTGATCATAATATAATGAAAGAAATACAATGCCATTTCTCTATCTAGAAGGCAAATTCCTAGGAATTCTTGATAGAGCAGGTGAATGGCTTACCTGAATATTTCTAAACTGCAATTTGCACAGATTATAAGATATTAGAATATTTTTTTCTATTTATACCTAATTATTAACCATATGCATTTCTTCAAATAAAATTCAATGTAGCATTAACAGCTCCGTCCCCTTCCCCAAACAACAGAAAAAAGGAGTAAGAACTGGATAGTAATATAAGTGAGTTGTACATTAAAGATAGGAGGATTAAGTCAGATAGTTTCCCACTTTGATTGGAACATACTGTTTCAAGATCTATCTTTCTTTCTTTCTTTCTTTCTTTCTTTCTTTCTTTCTTTCTTTCTTTCTTTCTTTCTTTCTTTCTTTCTTTCTTTCTTTCTTTCTTTCTTTCTT